CCTATCAACGAAGAACCTATTTGGCGCTCGGCGCCCAGATAGGATCTGCCATTCGTAGTCTGGGCGCCGAGCGCCAAATAGGTTCTTCGTTGATGATGATGAGACTATTCCAGCATTGTCAATTATGAGCTTTTGGTGTGCTCTTATTTGGTGAAACTCGTGATGCAATTCTGCTTTTGGTTCGAGGTCACGACTATCTGGTCTCATGTGTATGATGTTGTTTGATTGCTGAAGTTCGCTATTGCTCATCCTCCTTGCACTAACTTTATCTATCTACTATGTCAATCCCTCTTCGAGCCCTCTCATAGTAGGACACAATATTCAATGCAATTTGGATTAATTCTACCCTAGTAACCAGCGATCTTCAGATGGTTCCCAATAAGCAAACCTTACCTTGTACTGTCTCTGTGGTCTACCTTTGCGCCGGATCTGAAGATATCTTCCCCAACAATTCTGTCTACGTCATATTTCCTATTCATGTCAGGGGGAATCATCGACCTACGAGCAGGATACAACTCATTAGTAACGCAAGGTAGAAGCTTGGAAGCATGGAACACCGGATACGTATCCAAATGCAGAGGAGTTTCAACAACATAGGAAGGTCCATCCACATCACCAATCACATTTAAGATCTGCCACGGTCCTCTATAGGCAGGCTATAGTTTCTGGGACATGTTTCCTCAGGGAGAAACTCTTTGGACTTCACCCATACTAGATCTCCCACAACAAACTGCCAGGGTTTACGATGTTCATTCGCTTGCTCTACCATCTGATGCTGTGCTTTTAACTATATTGGAAGCCTCTGTATCTAATCAGGATTTAGACAGTCTGTGGGTCTACGAGGGGGCCATCCCCAATGCAATTCGGAAGGTGTTATGGAAGTAGACAGATGTACATAATTGTTGTAGGCACTAGCAACTTTGGACAAATGTTCATCCCAGTCAATCTGATATGGTCGAATGTACATTCGCAGTGTCTGCTGCAACAATTTGTTCATCTGCTCAGTCTGTCCGCTAGTCTCAGAATGTCTACCTGAGGACATAATCAACTTGGATCCGTAAAATTTCATAAGTTGCTGCCACTGTTCACCTGTGAAGCGAGTATCTCTGTCAGTAACAGTACTTGAGGGATGCCCGAAATCCTTCACCCAATGATTAAAGAACTCCTTAATCACCAGATCAGCCTTCGCTTCTGCTAAACCGGTCTACCACAGCCATAACTTGACTCTTGCCGTTTCTGCATCTTATCTTAGTGTCCATAAAGTTTATAGACACAGAATCCAAGGATCCCGACGAAATAGGCAGCGGTTTGAGTAATCCAAGGGGAGGCTGTATGAAACTCTTGTTACTCTGACATACCTGACAACTTTGTACGTAGGAAATGTTGTCGTGCTTCATTCTCGGCCACGTGTAGGAGCGTAAAAGGTTAGCATAAGTCTTTCTCCATTCGAAGAGCCCCTCGGTGTCGTGGTTTTCACCAAGTATGACGCTGCGGATTCCTTCACTCTTCAGGACGTATAATCGATCCTGGACGTTTGTTTTCTCAAACAGCAGTCCCTGCATCATCCTATAGTCCAGGACTTCGTATGGTGCAATCTGCACTTTGCCAATAAGCTGGCTATAGACTGTGTCCCTCACATAGGCAAACTTAATTTTCTCTTACAGTTCGGTGCTTGCATCTAAATATGTCATAATGGCACCAAAAAAGTCAGATCTTCGACTTTGTGCGTCAGCGACCACGTTATACTTCCCCTTGACTGCTTCGACTCGAAGTCAAACTGATCAATCTCAGCAGCCCACCTAGTCAATTTAGGTGTCATACGGGCTTGCGTTTTAAGCCAGCGAACTGTCTCGTGATCAGAGTACAACTTGAAGTGGCGTCCAAGCTTCCCGGAGAGCAAACAACTCTCTTTCGTACATGGAAGTGGCGACCTTCTCGCTAGGCAATCAACATGACACATATTCAACGGACGTTCAACCCTTGCCATCATCTTGCTGGAGTGCGGCCCCTATCTCGTGCTGACTGGCGTAAGTTGTCACTGTGAAACGCAAAGATGGATCTACGACTTTGAGTACCGGGCAATTAATCAAACATTTCTTCAGACTTTTGAAGGACGCAATGCAGTCCTGGTCCCACCTCCAAAAAGTTTCCCTCTTTAACAATCTGCGCAATGGGGCAGCAATTACCGTGAAGTTCCGAACGAACTTGCGGTAATAGTTGGCCAGACCAAGGAACGAACGCAGTTTCGTCAGGGTATGTAGGTTAGGACAGTCTCTAATGGCTGCAATCTTAGCGCCTTTGGGTTTAATTCCATCACTATCCACCATATGTCCAAGGTATAGAACCTGACGCTTCGCCCATTCACACTTCTTGAGGTTAATGTTAGAGTTGCTCTCTCGCAACTTATTTATCACAACTCGAAGGTGTTTGTGGTGTTCGCTCAAAATCTTACTAAAAATCAGGATATCATCCAAATAAACAACGACAAATTTATCAAGCCAATCATGAAACAAGTCATTCATACATCATTGGAAGGTTGCAAACGCGTTAGTCAAACCAAACGACATTACGACAAACTCGTAGTGTTCATACCTAGTCTGAAAAGCCGTCTTATGCTGGTCTCCTGACTCTACCTCAATCGGAGGGTAGCCAGATTTCAAGTCGATTTCCGAGAAGAATTTGCAAACTTGCACCCTGTCCAATAGGTCATATATCCAAGGCAGCGGTTCTGCATTTTTCACAGAATAGCATCGAGTCCCCTGTAGTCTGTACACATGTGCAATTCGCCGCCTTTCTTTGGCACGAACAGCACCGGGGCACCAAATGGTGAGGAACTTGGTCTAATCCACCCTTTCTCTAACAAATCATCTAACTGCTTTCGCAGTTCATCCAACTCGTTGGGAGACATTCTATAAATCGGGCCCTTGGGTATCTTTCTATCAGGTTCAAGATCGATCCAGTGCTTGATCTCTCTCTCAACCACTTCACTCGGGCCTTCTCCCACATCTGCAAACTCACTCAACAATTTTTGTATTTTGGGGGGAACAAGTTCTATCATTCTTTCTTCTTCACTCACCGGGCGCACAAACACAACAAATACCTGATCCGCAAGGTCGTGCTTGGCCACATGCCGGGCAAATGAAGGGCACTCATGCAGCAATGGGCTAAGCATGAAACAAGCGTACCCTCTTTTTCCCACCTTCGGGACTAGGGAGATAACACTCATGCTCACCCAGTTTGATGTATGCATCCATGGCTTCGCCCCAGTCAGTTCCTAAGATGATGTCAAAAGGGAGTTTGTCCTCCACTAAGAGTGTCAAGGAGTGCAGAACACGTTCCACACACTCATGCTCACCCAGTTTGATGTCTGCATCCACGGCTTCGCCCCAGTCAGTTCCTAAGTTCAGGTCAAAGGGGAGATTGTCCTCCACTAAGAGTGTCAATGAGTGCAGAACACGTTCCACCTTGCCCTCTGCCTCCAACCGAAAGTATGCCCTAACCCCCTCGACGTAACTATCTGCAATCATCTCCCTATTTATCTGCTAACTTACTCACGACGAGCTGGTCTAACTTCTGGACCTTCAACCCTAGGCCCATTTTCTGCAGCCCTTTCGTGCTAATATGGCTGCACGTTGACCCACTATCTATTAACGCGCCCGCTCTTGCTCGGTTGACCTCTAACATCTGCAATTAGTAACCGCCCTTTCTTTTTCTTCATCTCGGCCCAAGCGCGACGACGAGTGATCATTTCATCGCCTATGCTTGCAAGGGAACCAGCTAGAAAGGTTCTAACACAAGCAACCTCCGGGCAGCTAACTAGGTAGGGGCCAACTACCGTCTCAATCTCTGCTATTGGGACCTCTAGATGGGAGAATAACAATCTGCTTGCATCCCGAGTCCCTGTAGAGGCAACTGCTACCTCTTCTGATTGTTCCCTTTGGGGTACCGATACTCGGGACAAAAGGGAACAATGTGGTTGGGGTCACCACATTTGAAACACTGGCCGGCTGCCTTATGCTCATCCCATGTCTTCTCGTCAATCCCCATTTGTTCCTAAGGTTTGCCTATAGCGATCCCCGGATGGGGTGGATATGGCCGCCAGTTGTTGTATCCTCTTCCTCTAACCCCCGTGGAGTTAGAACCTCTACCACCTGGTGAGGGACCATTTCCCCTTCCTCCCGCGTAGTAGCTACCTTCGCCACTACCCCTTTGGGCAACGGGTTCTCTTCCTCCACCACGGTCGCGACCTCCTCTTCCTCTTCCACGACCTCTTCCTCCTTGTCGCCCTCCCCCGCGGGCTGCAACAACCGCATAGTCCCCTCTCTGGGCTAAGTGACTTTTGCTATCTTCTTCCAAACCGTAGCCTATCTGGTCATAGGTGAGTGATTCTACCCCTCCTTCGAAGGTGACCAAAATATTGTATTTTCCAGCTATGTTTCCTAGGATCGTGCGACCTTTCCATTTCTTCCCTGCGTGGAGATCCTTCCAATAATGGCAGTGTTTTGCCTCTTGTAGGAAGCCAACATGATCGACTACGATCGTGCTGAACTTTTCACAAGTCATTCCTTCTTTAGAACAAGGACATAGTTGACTCCTTAATGGATCTGGGAGTGCTCTGGCAAAGTTGTTCAAGATCTGCATGGGTGTCAATCCGTGGTCCGGATACTGCAAAAGCTCATATGGCACTTCCACTTACGATCACCAATGTTCAGGATCAAGGACTCGTCTTCGAGTCCTACGGGCCAGGTTCTTATCTTCGAACCTTTCTCTAAGGGCTTTAAAAAAGTCTTTGATCTGTGTCCGTTGTGAGTACTGGACCAACCACTCTCCTTCATCAGAGAGATTGGCAAACTCATCGCATTACCCGCTAAACACGAACTAGCCATTGGCGCGCGGTCCAAATACGGGATCTTCTACGCGTACAAGTAGGTATCCATTGCAGCTTCCCAGTGGAATACGCTCTCCTCCTCCTTCCCCGTATAAGTCCACGACACTTTTACCTTCATCTTCTCCCGGGAGTCCTCCGCTTCATTGTCCTTCTCATTTTTGTGACCCTTCCCTTTTCTGTCTCCATCATCACCATCATCATCTCCATCTCCTCCCCCCCCACCAAGCTTCAACTTCCTTACTACGGCAAGGTCGGATATCTTTTTGATGAGGGCCTCGGCTAGCTGCTTTACGTACCCAAGGATACGGTCATCTATCTGATGGGAGGCTGTACGCAGGAAGTTATTCCAGGTTCCCTCAAATTCTCGCTGATGGAATTCCAATTTACTCATGGACCGATGGAGGGCAGCGAGTTCCTCGTTAGTATGGAGGCGGGTGTCCATTAGGCAGGCGTTCGTCTGTGGCAGCCTGCTTACCCTTCTGGGTATCAGACAGAGATGCCGGAAGAAACTGAGGAGGAGAAAACTGCCTTTGTGGTTGAGATGGCATCAACGACAGATCAAGAAGAGAGAGACTTGCTGCTGGAGGAGAAGAGAGCAGAACTCAACAACGAGTTGGTGGCTGCGAAAGGCAAGAATATAATGATAAGAAGAGGATGAAGGAGGAGGGGGAGAAATTGCCCCATCCAGTCCATCACCTCCATCTGCAACCGTCGGATTGGCCCAGCATGGCTGCTTTCAACTTTCTCTTTTGTCTGCCGGTGTTGCATACTGTAATGGTGCAGACCAGAACAAGAACCGACCTATCTCACATAGTACAGGATAGCAGCGGAAGGCTAAAATACAAATGATCAGACCAATCAACGTGGCAATGCAGACCAAACATACATCATCATCATCACATGGTGTGAAGGGGCCTGGCGCTCACACAGGAAGAATGCGTCAGTCCAAAACCAGCACAGACGAAGAGGAGGGGGATCAGATGAAGAAAAGGGGGAAGATGGGAATGTCGTCAACACCAAGTCTTCGATACATGCCCCAAATAATCCCTGGTCCAATGTCTCGATCCCAAAGTCGAGTCTGAATCCAAATGTCCTCAAATCTCTCTCTCTCTCTCTCTCTCTCTCTCTCTCTCTCTCTCTCTCTCTCTCTCTCTCCCCCTCTCTCTCCCCCTCTCTCTCTCGTAGTTTGTAGGCGCTGAGAAGTCAGGTAGCGAGAGGGTGAGGGAGAGATGATGGTGGACTTGGAGGAAGAAGAAGAACTCTCTCTCTCTCTCTAGTGTACCAAGTACTAACTTGTGAAGGTGGCGCTTTGTTGTAGGTACATTGAAGATGAAGCTGGAGCTATGGCGCCACAGGTAAGTCTCCCTGGCCTCCACCACTCTCTCTCTCTCCAACGCTACTCTAAGCTCCTCACAGTGCCCAACGCTGAAGACCACTCCTAGCGCTACTACTACTACTTCAGCGCTCCTGAAGAGTGCTGCGGCTGCATCCTGAAGACTGCCTTCTGAACTGCACATGGAGTGCCCGTGAACTGCCTGCAGCCTGCAGGGTGGACCAGTACTATATAGTGCTGCTCTGACCTGGGAGGCTGCTCTTGCCCATGCCGAATCGTGCCAAACCCTGACGTTGAAGTTCAAGCAAAGGTTGTCTTAAAACAAGCCAAAAAATGGTCTACGCAAAACCCTGGTTTGGCGCCTAAGTTTCAGGGCAGGTCGACGTTATGAGGGCCTGAAAATGGCCCTCCTTTTCAGGCGTTTAGGCTGAAACGACACAGGGCCTGGAGGGCCCTTATTTTCCGTCTGGCCAGGCCCTGCAGGCCCGTGTGGATGCGTAGTATGCTACCCCCCCCTCATTGAAAGACCGAGCTTACTTGCGAGGGCGACGCTGCCTGTCGGAGGGAGGGACCAAAGTCTGGGTGGGAGGGGCAGGTCGTGAAGCTTCCTTAGCTAGTCTTTGTCGATCGTAGTGAGCGTAGATCCGCGGTGCGGATGCTTGCAAATCTGCTTGTGAAATCCACCCAGTGTCATCAGGATCGCATGCTTTGAAGGTAACTTTGTACTGTCGAGGCTTGTTGTCGTACTTACGATCCATGATGACGTGGTTGAGTTCCTGATGACCATCCATAGGCGGAGGGTCTTGCGATCGTCGGCCCGAGAAGTCATCACTCTTAGCTCGTGTGTATGTTGCCAACTTTGAAAGACTGGATGGACTGACAGATGCAGAGGGACATCGATCACAAAGGATGGGCCGTCGGGCTCGTCGCCTGAGGCTGAAAGGACAGTCCATGGTCCAAACCACTTGGGGATAGTTTGCGTGAAATATCCTGTTCGAGCGCAAACTCTTCCGTGGAGACCCAAACCAGATCATCGGCGTGGACGGGACATGACACGCGACGCCTGTTGGCTTGCTGCTACATGCGGACTTGAGCCTTTTGCATGTTCGCGCGGGCTTGAGCCAACAATTCCCTGTACTTCCGAACGGAGGCGAGAGAGCAAGCGACGTCTATGTCGGCTGTTCGCGGAGGGAGAATATCAACGAAGATACGGCTTTTCCGGCCACCGTGGTGCAACTCGAATGGAGTCACGCCGATCGCCGGATGCAACGAAGTGTTGTAGGCAAACTCGATGTTGCGGAGGCAGTCAACCCAATCCTTCTGATCCGAATAGATGAGCGTACGAAGCATCATTTGAGCGGTTTGATGTGCTCGCTCCGTTTGCCCGTCCGTTCGTGGATGTCGAGCCGAACTTAGTTTCATTTTGGTGCCGGATTCCTGCATGAGAGAAGTCCAAAATGCTGACATGAAACGAGTGTCGCGGTCGCTAACGATGTCTTCATGTACGCCGTGGCTGCAAATCCAGTCGGTGTGCAAAAGGCGCGCAAGTTCGGGAGTCGTGGCATAGTACTTGCAAGGGAGAATCGCTCGTATTTACTCGATCGGTCAACGACCGTAAGGATGTCGTCGTGCCCGAAGCGGTTGCGGGGAAATGGGCCGGTTACGTCCATGGCAATGGAGAGGCCGAGTTCCCGTGGAATAGGCAACGAGCGCAACTCGTGGTAAGGATTGCGGTTGCGGGGCTTACTTCGTCAGCAAACTTCCCAAGAGTCGCAATACCGAGTGACATCGGTAATGAGGTCGGGCCACCGAAATTGATGTCGAAGTCGTGCGATAGTCCGATTGACTCCAAAATGGCCGGCGAGTCGCCAGTCATGGTACTTGACGAGAAGGTGAGACCGAAGACGACGGTCTCGTGGGACACACAATAAGTCCTTGCCTCGTGAGTGGAAAAGCAAGTACCCGTCGACGATGCGATAATGGCTGGCCGGCGGGTGATCCGAAGATAACTGCGCATAGCGTGTGGCGTACTTCGGATCAGACTCATAGCCCCGAATGAAGTGCCGCTGCAGTTCCTCGTCCAACGCAAAGGCATGATGTGTCATAGCGCAAAGATCGGGTCTTCGCGAGAGTGCATCGGCTGCGTGATTGGAGAGGCCGCCGAGATGTTTCGGTGTGAAGTCAAATTGGTCGATGAAGTACATCCATCGTCCGATAGTGCTGCTCACCGTATCCTGCGTCTTGTAGTAGGTCAATGGGTTGTTATCAGTGACCCATATGAACCTACGACACCCAAGGAGGAAGTGCCACCATCGCTTGAGAGCCATCACGAACGCAAGCAGCTCCTTCTTCCTTGCATCATCAAGTGAATTGATGGGAGGCACATTGTGGCTGAAATACTCCACAGGGTGCCAGTCGTCGCCGTCGTGATGTTCCAAGACTGCCCCAATGCCATAGCCGGAAGCGTCACTCTTCACTCTTGTTGGCAAGGTGGGGTCGCAGATGCTAAGGACGGGTGCAATAAGCATGGCCGTCTTGAGTGCTTGGAATGACCGGCGTGCTTCGTCGCTTAATACAAATGGCACCATTGGCGATTGTAGTCTCGTCAATGGTGTGGCGATCCTTGAGTACTCGGTGATGAAGCGTTGGTAGTAGCCCGCCAACTCCATGAATGAGCGAACTTTCGTGGTGTTGGTGGGCTCGGGCCACACTCGGATGGCCTCGATCTTGTCCGCGAGTGGACGGATGCCGTGCGGCATCACAAATGGCCCAAGTACTCGAAGCTCTTGCCGCGCGAATCTGCATTTGTCGCGGTTGGCTTTGTACTTGGCTTGTCGTAGCTGTTCCAAAACGGTGCGGAAGTGCTCCACACGCTCGTCCAAACTCCGACTGTACACCAAGATATCGTCGAGGTAGATGAGTACAAATCTGTCCAGCACGTGTCGGAACTCCGTCGTCATAGCTGCTTCGAACATGGCCAGGGCATTCGTAACGCCAAAGGCATAACCAACCATTTGAAATGCCCATATCGCGTCTTGAACGCGGTCTTGTAGCAATCCTCCTATCCGATCTCGAGTTGGTGATATCTCGATTTAAATTCACGCTTCGAGAAAAATTTAGCGCCGTCCAGCCGTTCGAAAAGGTCGTCGATGTGCGGAAGAGGGTCGGCGTTCTTGATGGTTTGCGCGTTGGGCTTACGGTAATCGATGCACAACCGCAAGTCCTTGTTCTTCTTCCGAACGAAGAGAACGGGAGTGCCGTATGGCGAAGAGCTTGGTCGAATCCATCCTTTCTCAAGAAGGTCGTCGAGTTGTGCTCATAGCACACTTAACTCTTCCTCGCTCATGCAGTAGAAGCAATCACGCGGAGGTACATCCCCGACCTCGAGGATGATCTCGTCGCGGATGGGCCGATCCGGTACTACTCCGAGCGGGGATTCGAACACGTTGCCGTAGGCGTTGAGAAGCTCGGTGATGCATGGGTCCGTCATTGCGTCGGTCAATGGGATGTCATGGGGAGGGAGGGCATGGAGAAAACACACCCCCATCTCCTCGATGTCGTCCCTGATGATGAAAGCTTGAATGCTTGCGGCGGACACCACGTGACAGCTAATGGATGGGTGAGGTGGAGGCACCGTGCATGGGACTAGTACTCCGTTCCGATCACGAATCTGAACGGTGCGGTCGTAGAAGTTCATTGGGTGATCCTCGCTTCGCAACCATGACATGCCCAAAATCATGTCGAACTCGGTGTCCAAAATGTCGAAGGACACAACCTCGTTTGCATGCGGGGCGAAGTACACGGGAACATAATCAATGCACCGGTCGATTGACTTGTGCGTGTGACCGTCGGCCAACGTGACTTGCGTGGGCTGCGACTTCCTCCGAACGCGTGGCCCAAGGCCAGCGCATGCCGTAAAGTCTTGGCTCATATAGTTGCGAGTAGCTCCGCAATTGATCAAAGCACTACAGGTCGCCTCTCCAATTCGAATGCGTATGTACATCAATGGCGCATCGTTGTTGTCGTACCGTTGTCTTGAACTCGCGGTCGATCTTCGGAACGTAGTCGTGAAGGCCAACAACCTCTACTCCGACGTCCATCAACAGAGCTGGTACTGCAGTGTGCAAGTAATCCCGCAATTGTGCCAATCCCGCAATTGTGCCATTAGCACGTCGCAATGCTGTTTCGGCAATCGACCGGTCGGGGGAAGGGGCATCCATTGGAAGTCCTCGATCGTCAACAGGTCGAGTCTCTCAAGTCTTGACCATGACGTCGAATCCCCGATGAAAGTTGGCGGCGAAGCTGCCGAATCTGTTGCCGATGGTGGTGAAACCGTGCATGCGGTGGATTGTTGCACGTGGAGTGGCTGGTCCAATGGTGGGACCAAGTGGACAGCGTAATTCTTGTAAGTGAACCGAGGACTCACGACATCCGCATTCTCCACAGATGTGTAGGAGGCCGCTAGGCGGCCGAATCTGGCGGAATGAGAGGTGGAGTCACCTCACCTCCCGCTCAGCTCAGTTTCCCGAGCTGATTCGAGGTCAAACATCCTCCTTGCCTTGATCTTGGCATTGGGAGGTTTTGTGCTTGGTGTTGTTGCACCAATAGCAGCAGCCGTATCGACTGCGGAACTTGTATTCGGCCTCGGTCAAGTTGAACTTGACCCATGGTACTGGCTGTCCATTTACGGCTGGCGATGCGGTTTTCGCCTTCCCTTTTCCACAACAGTTGTTGCTTCGCGGCTGGACAGCGGCCACCTGATCTCCCTCACGTGATGCTGGGGTGGCTGCCGGGTCTTCCACAATGTTGTCCGGTTGGACAGCAGCAACTTGCTGCGGACGCGGACCAAATTTTCCTTTCTCCACATGGGCTGGCTGCCACGCCGACTTCTCGTGTGCAACAGCTCGGTTGGTCTTGATGATCTCACACGCCTTGTCAATGATTTCGGCGAGGCTCAAGGCGGCACACGACCAGTTGTAGAACTCCCGGTGCAAATGCGAAAATGGCAAGTCCGTGAGCCAGTCGACTTGCCAAGTAACGACAGCGGTTCCAAGCTCAGCTCACACTAATCGAGGCTAAGGAACAGTGCCAGGCGGCAACCGAGGCTGCCCGCCTACAAGCTGAAGCAGAGGCAGCAGCTGAAACGCAGATGCCCAGGTCTGCCGCAAGGAGGCCCAGGATCTGTTGCAGCGGCACGAAGCTGCCAACGTCGACAGGCTCAAGTTCTGGCATTTTGAACCATCCGAGGACCATGACGACACGACACCGGAAGAGGAACAACTCGCAATAATGGGCGACTTGCCGAGTGCCGAGTACCTCAGCTTGCACTAATCGAGGTTGAGAAACAGCGCCAGGCAGAAGCCGAGGCTGCCTGCCTACAGGCTGAAGCAGAGGCAGCGGCTGAAACGCAGATGCCCAGGTCCGCCACAAGGAGGCCCATGATCTGCTGCAGTGGCACGAAGCCACCAACGTCAACACTTGGTGATCGAGGCAGACGAGATCGGAGACCTGGACGCCGTGGATGGTTGCCATGTGGCTGAGCCAGATCTGGCATCCGCCCTTGACATTGAGGAACAGCGCCGAGATGTACAAGTGATTGGGGACCTCATGAATCCCAATCGACGTTGTAAAGCCTTGCCACCAGACCACTGGGTCCTGATGCGTGTAGTCGTCAAACTTCTCAATCCGAAAAGTTGGCATCTTATATGGTCGCGATGCATTGGTGCTGCCATCGTTGTCGGGCGGCTGGTGTAGCTGCCTGAGCTCGGTCTTCAAGGTGTTGAGCTGCTTGCTGACGGTGGCTGGTGCGGCGAAGGCGCTGATGTCTCCAAGCATTGCGACTACATGGTCAACTCGTTGCTCCAACTGGCCGGTTGAAACTGGCCGGTTGAGGCTGCACTACTGGGTTCGCCAGCATCTGGTCCTGGTGCTGCTTGCTCCAAGTCCTGTACACGGGAATAGAGTGCCCGTGTAGCATCCTCATGCAGATCCTTGTGGTTCCGCACTACCCGTCGAAGATTCACCAGCTCGAACTGCAGGTGGTTACAAGTGTAAACCAACTGGGTCACGAGTTTGGGGAGAAACTCCTTGTGCTGCTCGGACGGTTCAAAATGCCAGATCCTGGGCCTCCTTGCGGTGGACCTGGGCATCTGCGATTCACCAGCCTGTTGACGTTGGCGGCTTCGTGCCGCTGCAGCAGATCCTGGACCTCCTTGCGGTGGACCTGGGCATCTGCGTTCCAGCTGCTGCCTCTGCTTTAGGCTGTAGGCGGGCAGCCTCGGCTGCCGCCTGGCACTGTTCCTCAGCCTCGATCAGTGCGAGCTGGGCTTGGAACCGCTGTCGGTACTCGGCAATGGACTCTTTGGCCAGTTGGCCTGGCATGCCCAAAGCTGAAACCGTCATGGTGGCGGGGCACTGCTGACGTTGGTACTGCTGCTGTCATGGCACTGCAACTGACGTGGCACTGCTGTCGTGGCACTGCTACTGACCTGGTACGGCTGTAACGGCACTGCTGACGTGGCGCAGCTGACATGGTACTTACAAAACCGGGAATGCAGACAAAGGGGTGGGTGGGAGGGAAATGCAGGAAGGTAACAAAATTGCACTTTCCATTCCCAGTCCTAATCAACAGAATAAAAATAAAAATAGAAAGTAAAAGAACAGGATC